CTTGAGATCTTAATATAGCAGCCTTAAAATCCGTATGTCCGCGTTCTCGAATAACTCGCAGCTCGGCCGGTGATCGGGGCGTTACTTGTCCATTGTATCGCCTTGGCCGGGCCATGCAGTCCAAATGAGTAGACTCGTGCGGTCCATCACAGTTTGAACATTTGGGGATGTTTGCCGAGCATTCGGCAGCTTCGTGCGAGCCAGAACACTTTACACAGCGCTGTCCTTTGACGCAGTTTCTTGTTAAATGATAGCCCCAGCAGCGTTGTCATTGCTCGATGGGGCGTCTACGAGAGAATGGTATGGCAAGTCCACTCTCGTCGAATAGTCTAAACCTTCAGTTGGAAGGTGCTTGTTTAAAGTGCACGATCCAGCTAGTGGAATACTGTCCAAACTTTGTATCGTTTGGGCGCACCTGTATTGGCATGACGCCGCAAGCTGCCTGGCATTCCATCTTCACCATTTCCCTGGTTACTTCAATTCTTCCGTCTAATGTACGGATGTAGATTGGGACATGCGGTACCATGACGGATGTCCAGTCTGACGCCGGTTCGATTGTGATTTCCTCTTTTTGGAGTGAAGGACCCACACCCAGAATTGATTCCCTGAGTGCATCTGATGCGCACTCCATTGCTAGGCCAGACCTAACTTGTGTCATTGCTATGATTGCTGAGGGTGCAATCCCAGCTTTCTCTGTGACAATTTTCTTGATAGTGACTGGTGATAACTTGCGCCACTGATGCTCTCGTCCCATTCGAAGAAAAAGTCGTTTATCTTCTTTGGGGGGTTCTTTTTCTGCTGGTCGTGTCTGCACAACAGGCCTTCGTTTGACCAGGTTGGCTGGCGGGTCTGGGAGCTTGGCCGCTTTTCGTGCCACTGTGACCCAGGGGGATTCAGCCACTTGAGGCTTTTTCGGCAGTTCATGAGGCGGTTTCTCGTTTATCTTTGTCACCCTTGGCACAGAGGTTTTCATCTGAGTGGCTTCGGGGAAAAGGTTCTTAAATGAGTTGTATGTGGCGTTGACGTTGCTTATTGCAAAAGCTGTCACAATAGGTGAAATCTTTTCAATAAAAGGCGCGATTAAGGCCGCACCATCGGTTCCAGCCTTGGATTTCGCCCAGGCGTCGATATTCTGCAGGAATTCTTGAGCTAGGCTCATTCGCTGCTTTCTGTCGCGTTCTGATTGCTCCATTGCGGCGGCAATCCCAAGAAGGCTCGGGTGTAGGTCGTCGCCTGGGTCGATTGACGCCGAGGACGACGGCTAGTTGTACGCAGCCATGATGCTGCTTGATTTTCAGGGTTTGGACGGATGGATATAGTAATTATGCGTGTGGAATGGAAGAAGGATTTTATTATGAGGTGAGATGATGATGATGATGATGTTTTCCGAGTGGCATGAGGCTGTTGGATTAATTACGAGGAGAATGTAGCACTATCTGTGAGTTGGATTGTGATCGCGGATGGCTTTTTGGCTGAATACGACATGAATTTCTTTTAAAAAAAGCACTTTCTATGTATGTAAATTCTCGTATTGGTTTTTCTTCCTTTCCTTTCAAATATGTAGAAGCCCAGGGATTAGACCCTGGCGTCTTTTGTCTCAGTAGGGACTTAATAGTGCCACGCGTCAAGCGCGTGGCTCGCCATACGTAAAATAAATATCATCATAATCAACTGACAAAACCCTTCGCAACGGTAGCTTGCTGAGCGTAGCCCAGTCGATTTCGATTGACACCTGGGCTGGGTTCCGTTCCCAGCACGATAGATCGAAAGTTTAAGTTTGGGTCTCTTCTATTCAGTCTTCTAACAACTTCACGATTGAGTTTGACTGGGAGGACTTGACGACTCACCAACAACCCTCCACAATCAAAAGTAAAATTCCTTTCGCTTTCAACCTTACTAACATTGTGTGCAGGACTGGGCAATTTCTCGGCCTCGTTTTAGACAAGCACCTCGATCGCGACATCAACATTCTCAACTTTTCGACACATTCCAAAGAAGGCGCGAACGAAGAAGCCTTACTGAGACAACGAACAATGTACGATAAAAGCTGGGGCACCGATGCCTCGGTTTTGAGCTCTCGATTTCGGAATTTCAGTCCTCTCAAAGGGGGGTTGAGCGCAATGCAGGGGAGAATTTGGGAAGGACGATATGTGATTTTCAACAGGCTGTTGGCACAGTTGGTCGGGTGCTGGATGTGCGTTCTAGAAGTGGTAGGTTGGATTCCTACACGGCCTGTTTAAGGGGGGACTTCGGCTGCTCGTCGTGAAAGAGTCCAGGAGGAATGATTGAGGTTTTCCCACGAAGGTTTTCCCTCAATACATGGATTTTGGATCATGGTGAATGCGTTCCTACCTATTCCACCTGATGTAACTAGCGTGAGGCACGTATTTGGAAAAGTCAGGCACCAGATGAGCTTTGCTGGAGAATGGAGGAACTTGTATTCTAGATGTCCTCCATGCGTGTCATGTCCATTGGATGGAGGGTGTAAGCCTGGCACGATAAATATAATCATCATCATCATCATCTGACAAATCCTTTGATTAGCCAAGCGTATCTTCGTCATACATGCGCATTGGTGCCGCCGGAAATGTAGTTGAATTTGGCGTTAATCAAACCAGCGATCACCTATCTCGAGTGGGATATCTGTCCATGCTATCCAGAATTGATTTTATCCATGAACCATTTATTGAGTAACTACACCTCGTACTTAAGCTCTCTAACCATTTTCTAGCATCTATAATGGAAACCAACACAGCTCTTGTTATGATATTCAGCTATCATATGATAGTCTAGATCGTCCACAAAACCTATGGATTGCCATTTTCTAGAATTAGACATAAGAAGTAATTTGTCTTTTACTTTTTATCCGGTAGACCTTAATCCGGCCTGATTTGTTGCGCTCAGCACCTTCAATGTATATTCACAGCAAAATGTTGAATGTTCAAATATTAGCATCTATCAAGAAAATAATGACCCCTCAGCCATTGAGTTTGTAGAGCGTGTTGGTTTAATTAACTACCAGATTAAAACTAAGTAAAGAATTTGTAGTCAAGTGTGTATCCACAACATAGCATACTTGATAGCCCCAATTATTCTAACTTCTGCACAGAACTCTAATCCCAGCGTATCCTGGGCACTTGCTTCGGCGGAGGGGGTTGATGCATTCAATAATTGGTTGCGTGTCACAGATTTCTTCGAAAGGGCACAACGAACAGTCTGATTCGAACGAAATTACGATCTGATGTACACAATCTTCTCCTTTTATTTTTTAGTTTGTTTTGTAAAATATTTTCTTGATTTAGTACCAACGGCATAGCATGAGATTCGTTGGACGGACGACCTTCATGTACACTATAATCTTCGAGCGTAGGATGATAAAATCCTAGCTATTGTTTGCTTTGGTGGGTCTGTGAGGGCGCCCACACGTCGGGTAGTTTAATTTAGACTGGGCTAACCGGTACGTGAGGAACTCACGTGCTGTGCGCGGGCACGACGTTAAATATTATAAATAAATAGATATTCTAATTTCTAACTAAATTTGATATTAGCTGTCAAAATTTATCCTCAGTCAGGGTTACTCGTACAGAGACCAAGATTAAAGAGGTGTATGGAACATGGACAGAGCGTAACAAAGGGCTGGATTCACGTAGATAAAAGAGGCTGGTAGGCATTCTGGAATTTCTGGATTGATTGATAAATTTTTATTCGTAACGGTCACAAGCCCTGCACTCACAGAGCGTGACACGTAAAAGGCGAGTCCTTCTCCGACGATTATATTCGACAATAACTCAGCTTGACATTTGGACTGCTCATGTAGTGGGTGCATTCACTGATACCACTCGTGACCTTGGTGCTAGAGACTTTCACCCTTCCCTCAACCATTAATATCCACCATAGAGAAAATAGGAAGAGCCTTTGGCTACCCTAACATGCCTTTGCCATATTGTATATAGCCGCCGCGCGTGACATGATCGCACAGTCTTCCCCTTCTCGAGTGAGGTAGGTATCCAGGCTGCCCTGCCTCTAACTTTGGGAGATGACGAACAGGAGGCGGATTAGTATATTTTTCATTGTTGCCTATTGCAAAAGTCTCTGAAGCACTATACGAAATGCTAGCCTCGTCGCCAACAAACACCTCAAAGTCGAAAACACTCAAAAATTGTGAGTCTCAGTCTACCTCTTTGTCCTATATCATCAACCCATCTCTTATACTGCACACAGTACTGCTTATAATGCCGCTGTGGAGAGGCTGGATCTCCTTCATGCGCCATAATCTCATACTACCATAGTAACCATCTATGCGCCAGCCAGTAGACCTGACATACTACATGGCTGGGCAAAACAAAAATACCACTCTAGAACGAGTTTTCGAACGAATTTTAAGAGGAGAAAAGTTATGACTTGGGAGAGTATGGGTACGTCGAATACTGGTAAAATGGAAGGGTTTCGCCGAACCGGCGTGAGAAGATTGAGCCGAGCTATCGGACGCGGAAGCCATGGACCATTTTGAAGCCTTAAACGGCAAAGGAGACAACTTCGGGGAGAAAGAAGGAACCAGGCAAGGAAGACAAAAGGAAATGACAGCCAAAAGAAGAAGGGTGATTATGTGACGGCTTTGTCTGAATTAGGACTGGTCACTAGAGTCACTCCGTCTGCCAGGTTAAGCTGTAGAAAAACAGCGCTCCCATAAGGGTAAATATTGCTCGTGAGGAAGTATCAACGGGTGTACGGAGCAGATAGGAGCATGGCACTGTAAAAAAGGTAAGCCGGGGAGAAAGGATGATTCTTAGGTGGCCAAGTTGGGCAATGAAGACTGGTCTACGCAGCGGAAACAAAGAAAGGGTGATAATGTAGTAGATTGTCTTTCCAAGAAGTTATTTATTCCTATCGATTTATTGCCTTTCAAGTACATCTGAATTCGTTGAACCTTCACAGAGTAGCTCAAAAGATCTTATTTACCTAGCACGCCAATTTACCTTCATATGTACAAGCATATTATCTTAATTTTCCGCTCCTTTCTCTATTTTTTTAATCCAGTCTTCTAGCCTCCCTGATATGGGGAAGGGCGGCTTATGGTGCGCACTTTGGACTGAAATTTTAGAGTCCCTAACATACTGTTTCGAGTCAATCAACGTCTCTACTGTTGGAGCTTCTGCAAATACTACAGCTGTGGGCTTTGACAGTTGGATCTTGATTGTTGGCCAACCACAATCTAAGTCTCGTAGTTCTGGTGTCTTCTGAATCAGCGGATATAAAAAATATTCCGCCACTCTACGACCGATTTGGTCCGTAAGAGCTTCAAGAGTCTGGAAAGATGACTCTTCAATCGTCTAATACGGTTTAGAAAATAGGAGAGGTTTGAACATTAGGATCTTATACCATTACAGTGAGTTGTTCTACCGCACAGAAGTCTTCTTCAAATTCCTCATCAAAGGAATCAATCTCCAGGGTTGCGATCACCTCCTGTCTTGCCAACCTCTCATTATCGTTCACACCGATAACTGTGAAAGTTCTAAGGTGGAATATTTTAAGTGTCATTGAGTGTTTTAAAATATGTTTTCTGTCACGATATCGAAAGGAAGCGGACATTTGTACTCCGTTGCCATGTAATGATCCCTTTGGAAGGATAATATCAAGTTCGAGTAGATCTAGTTCCGTAGATTGGAGTAGTGGGATACGCCGTACAGAACTTCTAATCTTATCAGATGATTGTATTCCAGTTAACCATTGCTGTAGGTAGTGTAAAATGTGACTCAACTCCACTGGATTATCCCCAGAAGAGTTAGAGAACTCTTGACATGCCTCGAGAATACTTTTACTGAGAATTCCATAGTTAACTGTCGAATCGGTCAGAGTATCACTAGCAGAAGTATTGCGAAAGGATTTTCCCAGGTAGATCGAACAGTTAATGAGAACAGGCTGAGGGTTTTTGCGACGACCCCAGGCATCACAAACCCTTGCAATACTTGTCTGGAGATTAGTGATACGAATAACACTTTTTGCTTCGCCGATAGACTGACGAATCGCCCATTTTCTATCCAAGTGTACCATTTTGGAAAATAATGCAATCTCTGTCTATTCTTCTGAGAAAATATGATAGAGGGGTAACCAACGTTAAGACTGTGACGTAGATAAAGTGCGAGAAAGGTCAAGCTAAAGATATGTGGAGCCCGAGATATCACGGGTGGGCCTCGTTGGAATAGAGTCACAGGCAGATCGGAGATACGTGAGGACAAAGTACAGATAGGAACATATCAATAGGAAGTTGTAAATTTTGTCCCAGAATGCAACTACTTAGTTACTTTTACTCCATTCCTGCGCTAGCATCAATAACACGACCAAGCAGGATAATGATGAGTCATGTGACTTATAGGCCAGGTCATAAGCGAGTGAGTGAGTGTTTATTGTCCTATTGGGTCTATGACTATGTAAGGAAATGGAGGTCCTTTCTGCTTACAGTCCAGAAGTATCTATGCTTCCGGTAGTGTACTCCCTCTTATGCCTCCTTCACGACTTCTTTCCAGCAGTAATACCCCCATAGGTCTTCATTCGAGTCTAAATTAAGAGGAGCAGTTATCCCGTCATTATCTCCCCTCTCCAGCCAACGAAACGATGGCCATTTGCGGGTGTGTAGCTGCGGGGAAAAGTCTCAAATACCACTGGGTGCGGGGCTCTCCTGTGACGAAGAGGCTGACCAGCCAGCCGGGCGCAGCAGACCTATGTATAACTAAGAGCGTCTCTCAACCTTCCTAGCCTCCTCCTTACTCCTCCCTTGATTCATGCCGGAAGACAAACTGAAGGTCGTGAAATGATGTCAGAAAAGTCTTGTTCGAGAGTGACTATCGTGAAGGAGCCTAGCCTAGCACCCAAAAGTCGTTACGGACGTGGGGTTGTCGAGTAACTCATGTATTCCAGATGCCCTCCTGGCTAGTAGATTCGGAAGTTATGATTAGTAGGGACGATAATGTAGACGAGTCGAAATCTGCTTTTCATGAGGGCGGAAGGGTCTTTTACTTTGCTTTCGTGAACTTTTTGTTTGCCCACGGGTGGGTAGAAAATGTTGTGATATAACGAGGGCTTCTCTGACTACCGTTGTAGCGTTTGGTACGGCATTATCTTTCCTCATTCCCAGCATCATTATCATCGTCTTGGTCGTCTTATGTGTTATCGGAAGCGTATCTTTGACGGATGGGGAGATAACTCAGCTTAAAGTTGATAAGGTGTTACTCAATCTTGGCTCTGCAGACTCTAGAGTGAGAGCTGGAGGTTCGTAGGGGACACCACTGACAGGTGTTGAGAAAAGTCCCCCAGGTCATAAGCGAAAACCATATGTTCCATGACACAAGAGATACGTTGGCAGAGAATAGGTCATCGCGAATCCTTTACTATATACACAGTATATGAAATTATACTTGAGGTTCATTTTACAAAATTGGAAAGGTGACGAAAACTCAACACCAACGAGCGGTTGACCCTACAAGCCCCCATCTCTTAATCTGCAGTATGAAGAACAGCAATTGAGTCACACTTTTGCAGCTTTGAGCTGAGTAATCTTCCTCTCCATTAGAGATGAGCTTTCGATAATATAAATAACGATAATGACAATAAAAATTAAGCCAGAAAAAGGGAAGAGATTAAGGTACTGAACGCCACAACGGTAGTCAGAGAGGCCTCGTCGTATCGCAATATATGTTATCCAACAGCGGGCAAACAAAATTCAAAAAAAAGATAGATAAAACACCTTTTCGCCATCGATTATAGCAAATCTTATTCGTCATCAACGTAGTCTCATAAATCTATACTTTGGACAATTCTATCACGGAGCGCATACATACTATACGGCTTTCTCTACAAACCCACGTCCATAGCGACTTTTGGATGTAAGCCTTAGCTGCATCACGGCAATTGCTCTCGATCAAGACTTTTCTGGCGTGATTTCACGACGTTTTGGTTGTAATGCAGTATGAATCATGGAAGAAGTAGGGGAGAGGCTAGAAAGATTGAGAGATAATATCAAACTGTGAATAGTTTGGAAGCGATCAATATAGAGTTTAAGGTGTTAGGTTTACAAAGCTTGGAGTTACTTATTTCGGACAAAGGTGTTTCGCTAGGTTTGTAGCAATGGGGGCTCTTTATCTTCTCACTAGAGATGTTTCGCTCTAAATCATCAGAAACTCGGTTCATGGGGACAAGTTGGGGACAGATAAAGCATTTGCCATTTTCTGGACTTACATAATCTAGATAACAACAGAAAGAGGAATGGCAGCCAGGAATTGATTGACACTTATTACTTTTTACTTCTTACATGATTTAATTGACTCGTAGAGTCTAACAGATACTCTTGGGTGTATACAAGTGTAATACTTATTTCTGGCGGGCTTCTGTTAACGCTAAGTAAGGGTATTTGTGTTTCCAGATTTGGTTACGAAGTCGATGGTATGAAAGCCCTCATTCAGTGGTATTTGAGAATTCTCCATACATCCATACATCCATACATTCTCAAACGGCCTTCAATTCACAAATTTGACAGGGGACACAACTACAGATTAGCTGCTCTTCTAAGTATGAACTAAAATCATGGTCTGTGTAGCTATTACAGTTAACATCTTTCTCTTGTTAACGATCCCTACAAATATACCGTATGATCGTAATTCATGTAGATAGTAAAGATTGCGATAGAAAACAAATAGATGGTTTTCATGGCAGTTTTAATGTTTGCATCAGATATGAAATGCGCATGCAGCTATCTAGATATGACTCAATATCAGAAAAGAATCACATGATACATGACTCAACATGAAATAAAAGCACTCATGCCTCTGTTTTCACTTGCAAGTACTACTGCGAAGTTATGGTGGCTTTTTTCGCTCCAAGCCAGCCTTCATCCGCGAATATCCACCCAAGGAAACATCTCAGGAACCTCAGGTATCCAGAAATGACTCCATCATCCATTTATCTTTCTCAGCGCAAAATACGACTTTGGGTGTCTCCTTTCCATGTGGGGTAGGTGCCTTGACTGCTCAAACTATACCACAGAAAACCACCAGGAGGCGGACCGCGGCACTTTCAATCGTTGGCTTGTTTTTATAGTATCGGCTGCACTCTCGCAAGCGAAGTTTTGCTGCACACAATACTCTTTGATATGTAATTCTCCTTGTCACACTTCGAAATCTCACGCCCTTTGAGATTGTATCCTTCCTCTGCATTATTTTGTGAACTTGTCTTAAATCCTCTCATGCTCATTTCAAAGAACTGTCTTTCAGATTTGTGTACCACGCTTTGTTTTCTCTGTCGGGTGTGAATGTCGGCGTGGGCGTGTATTGGTGACCAGCTCAGGCCAGAGAAAGTCGATGAGAGATGTGATCATTGGGATGAGGACGTACTTGGTCGTACATGTATACTTGATGAGTCTTATGTAGGAGTTAAACTCGTTGGAAGTAAAAAATTGATGTGGTGAAGAATTTTGAATCATTGCCTCGTGGGCCAACTTGTCCGGGTATTACGAAGTTTGACTGAACTTGGCTCTGGGAGAACATTTCACTCCTAGGCTCGTAGATAACACCGCTAACAGGTGTTCAGTCATTGCCCTCTCCTCCCATGGTTAGGGATACGCACTTGGCCGCTATCGATGCTATTGTGGGCTTGACCTATGTGACATCTTATTGCCGCGAATGAAATTCATGTTGACATGATGTTAGTTTCCTAAACGTGCATTGACCTGTTAAAATGGATAGGTGACGTAGGCTTATCCTTCAAGTCCTGCAATGTTTCCCCTATCAGGTTCTTGCGCGGCGGAGGGAGCATGGAATGTGTAAATATTTCTTCATCACCGTGCCTTTTATTCCCTGATAGCTAGCGCACAGGTGGCCGAGCAATGCTCAATCGCAACCAGCAGTGGAACATCTCAGGAGGCTCAGATTGCAGGACCACGCATGAAGGTCTAGGCAGTAAATTTTGCTTTCATATCATAGCACCGTATATTCGTGATGATTTTCATGGCTAGAGTGTGAAATGCGTCAAAGCCTGTCTGTCTTGTTCCCGATGTGTTCGGTTACAAAAGAGTGGATTTCTCTTTTCCGTATAACTTGAAGTCACTATGATCACCACACTAGATCAATTAGGCTTGTAAGCTCCAAATGAAATTGACCCGAAAACGCATGCACCTTTTACCTCCCTCTTGGCAGCCAGGATGACGGACGAATTTGCAGGTATGCTCACCCCATCCCTGTCTATACTCCACTCCGGACGTGCCCGTGCCCGCTAACCCGTCGAGATTATGGACTGTGGTTGACATACAGATCATGTTTCTCTGAACCCATCCGACCATAAGCCATCTCTGATGATTTAGGCCTGGAACCTCGACAATCAGGTTAGGATCTTCGAAAGACCCCAACGCAAAAGCAATGCTAGTATTTTGTTTGCCTACCCCTCACCTCATTTCTCTCTCTATATAAAGTCCTCCTCGACCACCTCAAGTTATCACATCTCCCTACAACCCTTCATCTAGACTCTTCCACCATCAATTTACAAGTTATCCTTTCAACCTTTTATCAACATCAATATGGCAGCTCCGGCATCTGTTACTATCAAGGACCTTTCAGGAAAATGGTCCATGGTAAGCTATTATTGTACCTTCGTTACGAATAGATTCTAAAGTATCACTTTCAGGACAAAAAGCTATCTGATTCACCAGAGCCCTCTCTCACTCTTCAGGGAGTCGGCTGGGTTAAGCGCAAGGCAATCGCTACCACTACTATTGCTTTGGATGTAAAACAGTACCTCGATGCATCTAACATAACCCACATCGATATCAAACAAACCGCAAGCGGTATCCCAGGAACAACCGAAACAAGAGTGCTCGACTTCGAAAAAGCAAAACACTCTGATCACGTATTCGGTGAAGTGGAGGGTCGCTGTCAATGGATCACTCTTGATAAGATTGCGGATCCACTTCCTGAACACACCAGCACTCCTGAAGAAGTTGAATTCCTCTCAAAAGGTTGGATTTGCGATGAATCCGAAAATGGCGGTCCAAATGGTGAAAGACACATCGATTCATATGTACAAAACGACAGCAACAAATGGCTGGCGCGACAGATCTGGGGGTTTTCTATGATCGAAGGCCAACGCCGATACGTGCGACGCGTGGTCCTCAAGAAATATGAACCTAAAACTCCGGATCACATCTTATTCGTAACCCTCGTATACAACTACGAGTCTTAGGGAAAATAAATTTTCTTGTTCAGATAAAGATAAGAATCTACACTATGTAAAATGATTGGTATAAGACGGGCAAATTCTTCCCTACGACGGACCTTTCACTTATATACTAGTTGCTGCGGGACAGATAGCAAATAAACAAGTTCATAATTATATGCAATGATATGTGAATTAATACTCTCCTAGTAGTGGTCGACAGTGTTCTAGCAAACACCCTTAGATACATTGATCATTTAAAGCAAAAATGTATTTTTCTTATATCCAAGAGGTCACGAGCTCCTGTGACCGTAGACTTCCAATGAAGGATTACTATGAACAGGGCTTTCAAACGACAAGATAGCTAGCCAGTCGTATCAGTAATCCACGGCGAAATTGCTTACTGAAACATCTCGAATTGAGATACGTAGGTACGAGATTTATTTTAGATTTAGGTGTGATCGACATCGTGTTCAAAGTCAAATTAATCTCAAATAGAGTGATTGCTGTATCCAGTAAATCCGAGTACAAACCGGATTGGTAATTGAGACAATCGACAACATATGATTGTCAACCTTAAATGATGCCGCTGCTTGCTTAAGTTTAAATCCAAAAGTATCAACGGTTACTGAATTCCTTACGTATACCAATCCGGTTATATGGAACGGTTTGACTTCGCAACAGTCCAGAAGTAAGTTTAGATGAAGAGAGCGAATAACCATCCTGATCTAGTCTCTAGGTTCTAGTATCTTAATTCCACATTTCTGAGTGTCTTATTTAGACATGGTTCGGAGCCTAAAATACAATTTCACCAGTATACTGTTTTATATGTTAGTTTCATGAATCCATTTACACGCTCTGTAAGTCTTGGACTGCTATAGTATGGGCATCATTATGATGCGAGCTTTTTAATATATCGTAGCCTGAATTACTACTCCTATTTCTTTTGCAGACTGAGCCCTGAAGTGTATAATGGCCCAAACAAAATACTGAGTGTTTGCTTGCGCAATAGTCAGTTTGAATCCTGGTATATCAAACATCAGGAAATATCAATCCATTATTCATGTGAGAAAGTTTTAGCATTATTTCCGCATGCAGAGTAGTTCCAAGTTAGATCTGATAGGTATCTAACGATCTTCTGCCTAACCAGGGATACAAAAAAATTTAATAGATATGAGTTCGGACATCCTACTACAACAGTATCTAACGACACAAGACTTTGAGGGGGTGTGTTTCCAAGTCTGGTATATTTCCAAGGTGAACTAGCATCAGCGTATTTGCTTGATTAAGGAGATTCCGGTGAACAAGTTAATAGTCAACATAACCCGAGCTTTAAGACTCAATACACACACTGATAATAAGTCCGAAGTCGAAGTTCACAATCCGAAAGCACAGGCGCTTCGATTCTTGACAATCCATTAAAACCCCTTAAATGAGCTCTTTATTTTGCATCAGATTTTTTTGCGTATGCAGCTATGTAGCTATGACATAATGTCAAAGAGGAGGACAGAATAGATGATTCAACGTAGAGGAAGAGCACTCATGCCTCGGATTTCATTTGCAAGTACCACTCCGAAGTTATGGTAGCTTTTTCTTCACCCCAAGTCAACCCTCATCCGTGAATATCCACCCAGGGGAATGTTTCAAAAACCCTGAGTTATCCAGACATGCCTCCATGATCTTTCAACTTTTCTCCGCGCGAAATATGGTCTTAGGTGTCTCCTTCCCAAGTGAAGTAGGTGCCCAGGATCTTCAGACTATACCGGAGAACACCACCAGGAGGTAGATCACAACACCTTCCATCGTTTGCTTGTTTTTATAGTGTCAGCTGCACTATTTAATTGAGCTCAATGTTTGCAAAACTGAGGATCATCTAGTTGACTCATCAGAAAAATTATAACGAGTTGATGGAAAGGTAATTTAGAGCCCTGAAAATTCTTAGCTTTAGGTAATATGATGGGTAGGGGGGCTTGCCTTCCAACGAGAATGAAACATCTCCATTTTCTACAGTAAGTCTGAGACAGTCGGGAAGCTTGGATATTTTCGGGTTTTCGCACCGGCTCAAGTTGTGACGACGAATAAAATCTGCTTGAAAGGTTTCCTACTGGCTACCGCAGCTTTGCCTCTCAGAGATTTATAGTCTAGGTACAGGGATACAACTTGTAAAAAATGTCCGTGGCAGCTTACCCCATTTAGGGTGATCCCTTGCTAGCCTCGAATGGCGCACTGGCCGGCGGGAGGAGCCAGAGAGTTCCTTCCCGCCGTCCGTGTGACAAGGTGATCATCTTCATAGTCGTCCTAGCCAGCCAAACTTAATGTCAGGCTTGAAGGGCATTAGCTTTGACTTTCACGCCTCTGGCCACGATAGAATGACTACCGATACATGCTCGAGTTTTACTTAATGCGTCTTCTACCTCCATCTTTTTTCGCTCCTACCTATTCCACAGTAAGGGCTCCGACAACGGCCAGTTAAAGGCAAAGTCCTGGACCACACTCACGAAGGTCTGACCTCTTTGATTGGATTACAGACTCCTGATACGGCGCTGTATAGTCTCAAGCATGAGATTTCTTCCGCCCATCAACATCAAGCAAATCTAGCATGAGACTGCAAGCTGTTTGGGCCCAGTCAAAGGATGGTCGAGACATCCGTGGAGATTCTATTCCCGGCCGTTTCGTCTTAGATGTATTCTCATCACATGATTGTAGTGATGAGATGGCCACTTGTCGTAGAAGCGGTGTAAATAAGTAGCTCCGATGGCTTCTAGAATCAACCTGGCATGCTTTGAGGCATTACTTCATCTTGCGATCATTTCTCCTTATTCCCTTGAAAGGTAACCTTTAAATTCGTCCCAAGCATATTCTGTTGTAATTACTCACCAGTTGCTCACCCTCGAGTTATACGATTGAGGGCAATGATTTACAAGACAGGTTGAGAATAATTTGGCACATAGACGCACTAGTTTACGATAAGGTTAGCGGTAAAGACAAAGAATTTGAGAAAGACATATGTACCCTCGTGTAACACAAAAATCTCCTTACACAACCCGAGGCATAGATACTCGCAGCATGAAGGCTGTAGGGAACAATGTATCCTTGCATATTCGTAAACTTGATAGGACAATAGGCGTACACATGCAACAGCCTCTTACAGTACAAGATTATAAAAATCTAGAAAACATCATATTTGCCAGAGAGCTGCGCAGCGATCCACAGAAGTCATCTCATCGTTTTAATAATTGCTACCAGGTAGGGGTTGAATCTCAGCATTAACTAGCATATAATTGTAATATTGATATTGGAAATTAATTTATAAACTAAGGAACTGGTTAGATAGATCCATAGGTAGAATAGAATAGAATAGAATTAAATTTAAGTCCCTACTGAGTCTAAGACTATGAAGGACTGCTAAAAGTAGACATTAAACCACCATAATTCACTTGTTTTGATAAATACTGTTTTTTCAATCTTTTCCAATAGACAATGAGGGTCTAACCCTGAGGACCCATAGGTAGTCTTTCATGGTCTAGGACTCAGCGGAGACTAAAATTTAAATCAATCAAATACTACCATCTTAATCGGCTAACCTTGTCCGATTCCTCGATTTTTCACATTGCCCCTCGGCACGGCGAGTTGGAGGGCCGGAAAGGTGGACTTCACGGCAGGAAAAATTTTCGCGACACCACCAGAACACCTAATAGATAGCGGAACGGTCGTAATTCAGCTACAGAGTCTGTCGCGACCTCTACAGGCGCCAACATGGATACGTTAAAGACAGTAGGGTTTTACTAAAACAAGGTGAGAGACAGTCTAGTGATAGTAGGCACTGACAAATCTGTGACACCGATGGTCGAGATAGTTGAGGCACTTGACGACTTCAAGGCATACGCTAAGATGTTATGATTGAAGCTGAAGGCGATGTGAATGGAGGAACGGATGTTAGCCTTGAAGAAGGCAGTTAGGAAGAATCTCGAGGAGCCGTTACGCAAGAGGGCTACTTTGGCAATACATGGAATGAGGGAGCTACCCACATACGCCTCAGTCGTCGCACCGCTAGAGAATACGGCTATATGAATAAGCGTTCAAAGAGCAGACAACGTGCAGCAGGCAGAGCTGCTAGACAAGGCAAAATTACAGATTAAGTGCATACGCAGTAAGGAAGCTACGGGGCAATGATACAGTGGTATTTGTACAGTTGGTCTTCTAAAGAGACGATGCCTTGAGTATGGCGTAGCCAAAAGGGTTCTACGTCCTAAAGCAGGATTGTCCAGTTAAAATTTTGGGAATCCTCTTGGGGATACACATACGAGAAGTAAAAATTCAGAAAATGGTACACTGATAAATCAAATCATGGCAGAAACAGAGGTTCGGATTCCCGAATTGAAGATTAATGGGGTTAGATGGCTCCTTGACTGAAAGGAGCACTGATTGATTGGAATAAACGGTCCTACTCGAGGGTCAGTTGTCGCGAGCTTGCCGACAAAAGCACTTCAACGCGAAGTAATAAGAGACGGTATTGTATACAACTCAATGCGGTACACAGCCCAGCTCTTGTAACCCCGAGTGAAAATTAAGCAGTACTTCAACTGCTGCCAGTGGGGGCTTACCCAAGCCTCTTGCAATAAGGCAAGGGGATGTGGTGAATGTGCGGGCACTCACTAGACTAGGGACCACGCGAGGAAATCGGTACTTTACTGCAACTATGGCAAGACTCGTGGATCATAGCAGAAGGGGGCATGTCTTAACTTTACATCATACAAGGCCAGCTTTCAAAGTACCAGGTATGAACTAATGGGCAGAACGGCAGAACCAAGAAAAGAGAATGATACAACTACGGCAACACCTCAAACCAAAACCGCGAATACAAACGACGACCAACGGTTCACACTAGTGTCCAACTAAAAGCCTAAGAGCATCAAGAGAGCGCCTTGACTCCCGCGCAAACAAGTCCTAATCCCAGTCCTACCACCACAAATAATCGGACTATCGGGATCGAACTTAAGACCACAGTCAACTCTTTTCGGCATGCG